TATATATATATATATAATCTTCAAAGACTCAATCTAATAGCACGTATTAATAGTATAAATCGTAAAATTTTGTAGCCCTTTAAATACTTTACTGACATTTAAATTGAGTGATTTTACCCTCATTGAACTCTTAAAGTCAATAATTTGATTTAGATGTAAAACATCAACTTTGGAGATCATTTTGTCCTTTAAATAATGTTACAAACTTTTCAATCGTGCTTCGAATACTTGATAACATGTATTTTGTATTTGGATTAGAATACTTTTAAGTAGCATTGGGCTCACCTCATGGAAACAGTCATTTCAATTATAAAAAGTACTAGAAACTTAAATTTAAATGACCCTAGGTATAACTTTGGAGCTTTTTATTTCAAGCATTGCATCAAGATATGCATCTCTCTTTTTAATATTTAAGTATATGTCATGCAAATTTAAATTGAGTATTAAAATTCATGACACAAAATTGTAATTTTTATTGTATAAAATTAAATATTAGATAATGTATGGCTTGTCTTCCTCTTCTTGAATGTTTGAATCAATTTCATGAGACAATAATTTGAGTCTTTAAATTGATGATGCAAAATTATGATTTTAAAAATTTTAGGCTTCAAAACAACTCTAGCACAAACCTTCCGTTGAGCACATAAGTAAAATAAGTTGGCTTCAATTATAAGTTGACCTACCCTTCATTGAAGTTGAAATGTCAACAAAAATGAATTTTATTAAGACTTTTGCTCCTGTTTTCTTAAACTTACTTTTATTTGATTATATATACTTAGTTGAGCTCCAAAAACACTAGCATTGAATTCAAAATATCAAAAGTTACTCTTAATAATCCAAAAAATGTGGTGATAGGGTTGTATGCGAGCAAACAATCCACATACACAGGCGAGCTTTGGTTGACATTCATTGACACAATCATAAAATGCAGTTTGCTTACATTTTGGCAAGAAAGGCTTTTCTGTTTATAGATTATGCTTGACACTTACCCTCAATAAAATTTTAAAGTGAGAATTGAGTTCATTGCTATTGAGACTGCTTTAATGGTGTGCATTTCAAGGGTTTTCAGTTAATCTTGCTCACAATAATTTTTTTAGTGAGGATTATGTTCACCAGTAGCTTCTCATTGAGACTACCTCATGGGCGTGTCTTTCAAGGGATTAAGTGGAGATTGTGTTTATCCGTCGCTTACCCTTAATGGACATTCTTAGTGAGGAATATGTTCACTATTAGCTTCCCATCGAGCTTACTTCATAAGCGCGTCTTCTAGTGGTATAAATGGAGA